CAGAAGACTGCAGCACGTACGCAACGATGCGGACACTGTCTGCCGTCGGCTCTGGTGCAACACTGCACTCAATGACATGATCGCAGTTGAGCACGTCCTCTCCTTCAACGGGACACCGCTTGCTTTCGCCGATGTCGTCCATGATTGTCGCAAGAGACAGTAACTGAAAAGTGATGTGTGTGTTTTGTGAAACATTCAGAAAAACACTGACGCCGTGCCGACCACATACGATCTAGAGCGCAGGGTCGACACGACATGGCTGGCCCGGCATGCAGGTATTTCCAGGGTGGGGGGTCAACGTATCAAATATTCAAAAACATTTCATACGTTCACAATCCACCAATTTGACACATCCACAATTCAAGGGGGGGGTCAGGACATCCGGACCACCCCTCTGAATCAGCCACTAACACACATACGGTTGCTTTGCCTCCAAGAGGACTTCAATGACATTGAACGCAAGAGGGGACTAGATTACTTTTATCTAGATGCGTTTAGGAGAAACGAATAGTGCGACGTCCATCTTTCACAAGCCTAGCGTCGTAGTCTTCTATGGCAGCGAATACACTAATGACTGCAGTCAAAGGGTTTGTTTGCCACACAGCGTTAGTTCCCGAGGTGGCCGCTATGGAGCGCCACTCCTCAATCTCCTCCCCAATAAAAGGCATTTAAAAAATGCCTGAACCTACATTTAACATATGTATACACCTCATTAGATTCCTCACACATACACCTACCAGAGGAAAAAAAAAACATAAAGAAGAATGGATGTGTGCAAGTGGAAATATAGCTTCCATAAAATAGCAAAATGTGTAAATAGATTAATCTGAAATAATAGCAAAAAAAAACATGCACAGACCTATTTGACTGTTTCTAAGTTAATATATTTCAAGTTAAAAGATACTTATTTCATGAAATTACTATAGGACAAGTGCCAATCTTCAAAAACACAATTTCAAAAATTAGTTTTTTTTTGTGTGTATTTGTTGCCTTAAAGAAAGCATTGTGTAGGGTTGTTTTCACCACAAACACGAATTGTGCATCACCGAACGCTCATTCTCCGTCCAAATGTATTCCCAGCCAACGTCTTTAGATCTATCAGTTGATAAGCTCCACGGAACAGCGACGTTTGAAATCGGTTCTATGTTGCCTGCACGCAAGAAGGTACAGGCGGAAAGCGTTCCTAGTGCCACCAGCGTCAATGCCTCCATGGGCAATGAAGGAGGACAGCTTTCGAACGACGCTCTTTTTACGGCGACTTTGGCCCAAGCTTTATGTACACCATAAAAACCACGATAGGATCCCTTTCCACTGTAGGTGGTAATGTGCATCCAACCACCGGTTCCACCGGTTCTGTTAATTGGGCGGGCCGATAGTATAGAGTGTGCCATCGAGCACATGTGCCACGAAATGGCACCAGGTGTTCTAGCAAGCTTGACAAACGACTCTGATCTAGTAACGTCGGCCAAAGCGGTCCGAACTAGACACCAAAGTTTCACAACTAACAGTTCTCAAACTTTGGCATCTGGTTCGGACCACTAGCGGCACATTTGGATGAAGAATGAGCGTTCGGCGATGCATAGTTTGTCTTTGCGGTGAAAGAAAACCGGTGAAAGAAAACACTCTCCCTTTTTGGACGGGACACGCTGTATTCGTTGTCGCAAAGTGGCCCAAGGCGAGAATGAAACTCAAAATGTAGGAGCACATCATTTGAAAAGTGCAAAGAATGGCTAGATTCTACTCGTTCAATAATGTCTTAATGCTGAAGAGACTGTGAAAAGCAATGACAAAAGCATTGTTGCTACTCTCGTCGTTACATCAGAAAAAGTAATAGAACTACAGTTACATCCAAAAAATGAAAGCCGTTTACAACTCCCCGTAACGCCAAATTGGAGTGCAGCCCTTGAGGAGGAGGAGGGAAGGGTACTGAGGGTAGAGTATATACCTCCTCCCTCCTCCTCCCTCGTGATCCTGCCTGCTACTCCTGAACGAAGGAGCTCCGGTTCGAAGCCAGCCGAGGGACAAGAGATAAGAGTCCTTTAAAATCATTTTTCGAAGTAATGAAAATTCGGATTCGTCCCCCCTGCTCCCCTCCTTTCTCCTCCTCCCCTCACGGGGGTCACGTGACTTCACGGTTACGCCGACGGTGACGCCGCTCAAGCTGGAAACGGCCGCCCAAGAGCTGCGCTCTAAAAAAAGCAGCGCGTTAGTTAAGTTGCGAAAAAAGTAAAGGACTTGGAGTAATGTGTCCCTTGTATTGCATTACTATCCAAGACTGTTCCCAATGTCATGAAACATCCATTTCAAGCATCCAAAGGTGTCCACAGATTGCCAGATACAGGAATAATCATATTGTAGTTTTACTAGGCTTACTTGTGTAAGTTAAAAGCTTGCATAGTGTGTTTTGCTAAAAACAGTTAATTTAGAGCACGCTCTTACCGTATTCACAAAATTATTTCAGAATCCGTTCAACAGCAATGCAGCCAATAATACCAAAATTTTTCAATGCTGCAAGTCACAAACCTAGACCATCAAATCTGTCTTAAGCCTGTTAAAAACATCATGGTGTAATACGCCAAAACAACAGGGACAAAAAACGAAGGGAGAACTAGACAGGACGCAGCGTAACTTTCAACTGAATTGTTTTTTTGGATGACAGAATTTTAAAAAAATAAAATATAAAAGCAGGCACACTTGGCAGAACACCAAAGATATGGTCTAAAAACACCCCCCCCCCCCCCCTCAAATGCCAGCGTCATTGGTTCTGCAAATAGTAGAATTCTTTATCAGTCAATGACAAAGAGGGAGCGCTTATACAATCTGAAGAAGGTGGCCCATCGCTTTGACATACCAGTCGTTTTTTCAGCACCGAATAAACTATCTTCACTGTGTAAAAGGATTGTGAGTGAGTAAGTGATTTATTTGCACTTAAATTGGTGCGCACACGGCGGCGTGCCAGGCAAGGCAGATAGGCAAAAACCCTTACGCGTCTGCGTCTGCCAGCCTGCCGCCGTGTGCGTTGGGAGTTACAGCACTACCCAGCTTTAGAAGCGTTAAAATTATGATGGAAGTGATGATGGAGGTGGTGGTGATGACGATGATGTTGCTGATGACGATGGCGATGGTGATGATTATGATTCAAGAAGAAGAGGGGGTGAGGGAGTGAAGATCATGATGGCAGCAGACGCGAAGGCATTAGTTTAGCGAATACCTTGCAAAGTTCCCGGGATTCATCGTGCGACGTGGGCAGAGGCCTACGAGAAGCTAATGGTATGGTCAAGAAGTCTCTAATGGCGGCAGGCAGCAGGGATTCAGTGTGACGAACAGTCCTGCCTCGAAGAAGTTCGGGCTGACCTGATCTTCTACCGAGACGTACGGCTGCCGATAGGCGAGTCCACGAAAGAGATCCGTCGAGCAATCGGCACAGCACGCGAACTCGAGAAATCCGCCGTCTCTGATCGAGGGGCCGCCAGCCAAGGGTTGTGAGCCGTGTGTGGTGCGGCACGTCGGTCGTGCCAGGGGACCAGGCGCAGATTTTGCGGGTTGCGCGGCGCTGCACACTCTCCAGTCTCTCGATTAGGTGTTGTTGAGGGGGAGACCAAACTGCAGAGCAGTATTCCAATGAGGGCAGGACTAAGGACGTATATAGTGCCTGCAGGACCGCCGCGGATAAGCAGATTAGGAGGAATCGGATGTGCCACAAGAGTTGTGCAAAAAAACGACATGTCACTAAGTTCCGTGAATGCGCCACTAGTGTCACGTACAAAATCCCTGTCATGTGGTAAGGTGTACGTTGGCCAGACGGAGAGGTGCATTAATGATAGGGTCAGAGAGCATGCGTTGGCGATCAGGCAGTCCCCGTCTGGCCACTTAGCGGTCCACTGTAACTGTTGCGATTGCAGGCCCAACTGTGAAAAGTGCAGCCCCATCTTTGGTGGCACCTGTGTCATGGGCCGTTACAAAACAAAAACGGCAAGAGAAACTGCCGAAAGCCTTCCTGATTAGGTCCCACCACGACAATACTTGTATAAGCGCTCCCTCTTTGTCGTTGACTGATAAAGAATTCTACTATTTGAAGAACCAATGACGCGGGCATTTGAGGGGGGTGTGTTTTTAGACCATATCTTTGGTGTTCTGCCAAGTGTGCCTGCTTTTATATATATATTTTTTTTTTTAATTCTGTCATCTAAATAAACAATTCAGTTGAAAGTTACGCCACGTCCTGTCTAGTTCTCCCTTCGTTTTTTGTCCCTGTTGTTTTGGCGTATTACACCATGATGTAAAACGAACTAGCCCAACTAGCCATCCTTATCTGTTAAAAACAGATGATATTTGAAGGTTTTATGATGCAACAGCAATAATGGCCATGCATCCAAGGCTGAGAAGAAAGCTGCAACTCGTGAAGGCACAATTGTACAAGGCGACAGGCGTCAAATGCTTTAAGGTATAGTAGAGAAGCTACACGTGACAGGTTATTCAAGACAAAGACTGGGACTGACACAAACACAGTCTCAAACAGAGACACAAACACAGTCTCAAACAGAGCTGATGACTGTGCTGCACAGGATGTTGTGGCTTGTGGCTGTCCTTATCTGTTGTCCATAGTGATGCAACCTTTCAGTGTTGGGAAGCCTGCTGGCTAAGGTCCAAGCAGTGATCAGTGGTGTAGCCAGGTGTGGGGGCTTATGGGGCTTCAGCACACCCCTCCCCCGAAATCCCAACTGACCCTACAATATACACATACATCTTGACCCCCCCATCCCCCCGAAAAAAAATTCCTGGCTACACTACTGCACCGGAGAGAATGACTTACATGAGTAGAAAGCATGTAGTGAATCAAGTTGGTTAGTGACTGAGCCTGCATGTGCTTGTGCCAATCCCGATTTTCTCCTCATCGCTTGCTTCAGAGTCAATACACCTGGTCTATCATTAGTTAACAAGGAGACAATAGGAGATGCCCTGTTACATAAACCTACAAGCTAGCTGCAAAACATCCCAACCTGCTGCAATTTGTTGAAGCGGTGGATTTCATCAATGAACAAGACAGTCTTCCTCTTGAACATTCTCTGGTCATTCCTGGCTCTCTCCAAGGTGTCCTTGACATCTTTTACACCAGATGATGTGGCAGAGAGGGTAACGAAGTGAGCTTCAGATGACTCCTTGCACTTTTGGGAAATGATGTGTGCCAGTGTGGTCTGCAAAGGTCAATTTCGTTGTGTGGGAAAACAATAAATGAATCATAAGTATTGAACAGCGTCGTGCATATTACTGTGCGAGGCATGGGCCACACTGATAATTTTCAGAGATTTGAAGGTAAGCACTATTAGGTAATTGACAGCAAATTAATTCCAATGCCAAAACATAATTAAATGGTCACTGCAACATGCATGAAGGTACCATTTCAGGTAGTTATGGGCCACAGAAATTCTGAGCCTATGGGATACTCAATTTCTGAGCTTTATCAAAATTGTTAATTCTTTAATAAGCATATGAAGGTACCGCACACAAAAAAATATTGTTGAACCTTAACCCTGTGTGGAATAGCTGCATGTTATACATAGTGAAAAACAGCCACCATGAAAACCTTGGACGAGGCAAAATCTACCAGGGCAAGCTACATGGCAATGAAGCAACTCAAATTAAAAAAAGCCAATGATAATTACAATATCTATAGTTTCAGCCTTCCTAGTATAGAGAATTAGGCTGACATTTGCTGGTCACCATGATAACTTGAATGATGCAGCACTATTCGATTCAAACCACAACCGGCTTTACAGGAGCAACCAGGTCACTGGAGGCTGTCCCAGCGCGCCGTATTTGCTTTTGCTTGTTTTGTGCTTTTCAGTTCATTCAACCATCTGCATGTGCTGGCAGCACGACAGGCAGTGGGTGCCTTAAGCACTAATGGCGTTTGTTTTAAGCTCCAGGTTACCCCGCGATCGCATCTATACTCCGTGTCACTAGTTGCGTGCAGTGCAGGCAAAAACAACGCCAGGCGAAGAGAGAAACGGCGAGTACTAGGAAAGCGGGACGGGAGGAGGGTGAGGGGAGAAAGGGGGAGCACTTGGAACATTAGAGAGGAGAGGAGGTTTCTGTCCTCATCCCCAGCCTTCCTAGTGCTTGCTCTTTCTCCCCTCGCTTGACGTTGCCTTCGCCTGTACTGCATGCAACTAGTGACACGGAGTCTAAGTGTGCTGTCATGTGAATAGGTTTCCTGGCATTGCCTATGCGTAACAGCTCACGATGGTGTGCTGCTGCACTCCACTCTGCAAGGCGAGCGGGAGAACAATGAGCGGAGTCGGTTTCCACGAGTTTCCTGTATCTGAAGTGCAGAACCAGTGGCTCATTAAAATAAATGTGTGTGAATTGAGACCATTCAATTAAACGAATGTGTTAGTGAATTGAGTATTCAATAAAACATGTTTGTGAAACGTTTGCACTACAGTGCAACCCACTTATAACGATAATGAGAAAACCCGAAATTTCAATCCTTATAGCCGATTATTGTTGTATCTGGACTAGAAACTGATCATTTCCAGTCTAGAAACTCTAGAAACTGATCGTTATAAGCGGTACATTGTTATATGTGGTATCACTGTAAGTGGGTTGCACTGTATGTGCCTTCCTTTATAAAGTAATTACCTTGAAAAGTTTAATATTGAAAAGAACTTTTCAAGATGACGCTTTCCTTGTGGAATGGTCTAACTTTTCGTATTAATCAACCTTAAAAAAAAAAAGTGTGTTTGTTACTTGTGAAATTGTGTGTAGGAGCACGGATTTTAGTCTCAAATTGGCATCAGGCAGCATCTTTAGGGACGTATGAATATGTTAACTATGCCAACAGTTCACGTAATTGTATTGAGATCGTTAAAACATGCAAGAGAAGAAATCGCGAAAAATTATTATAGAAAATCGAATTCACAGGAGCCACGGCCGTGAGTACAGCCTCCAGGAGCTTATTTCAGAATACAAAGTATCCTGCTCGAGAAAACTACTGCCTAATGGTTCAGTTCCACTTGATCTTGCCTGCAAAATAGGTTTTAATAACATTGTCTGTTTATTTAATAAGAATGGATACGTCTGAAAGCGACCTCGCCTTCACGTCCCTCCACGCTCCGCAAGGTCTTATTACGGTGTAGGTGCAGACGCGCTTTCTGTGGCGGGGCACTCGGCCCCTTTCAATCGGTCTTGTGATATTTCTGGGGACGCGCGCTCCCGTAGAGGGAGGCGGAGTGACCTGGTCGCCCCTACAGACCGACACGTTGTTTACAAACAAGCCCGCGTTTGCCCACACCAGGTGCGGGCAGTGCGCGAGTGCAGAAACCAGATTCGTGCAAAGTGGAGCTTCTGCGCATGCGCCGTGGCGACAACAGCGCCATCGCAAAGGCACGACGTCAGAGCCGCTTGTTGGTCTATAAAGCTGGTCGCGATTCAAACTAGGTTCAGACGGGTCTAGGAGAACTCGTCACAAACAACTTGTCATAGGTAAACTCGTCAAATAGGGCAAGTCGTCGTAAGGCATCTCGTACACGGGAAGCCGTAACAGGGGGCAACTGGGCACTTGTCCACTTCGTCACAACTTACCTTTTTCGCCGATCTTGCGTTTGCAATTCGGCTTCGATAACTGATGACAAAAAATAGTTCACAACTAAAAAAAGAACACAACATGGTCTTGTATAGATTTTTCTCAAAAAGAGCTTCTGGCAGTTGCTATCTCGAGAGTTGAGTTTGTGCGTACGGCGCTTGCTCTGCTCGCTTTCCGAAGCGACGAACATGCACATGCTGGGCTGTAAATATTGCACGCTGGGCCGTACCAGAGGGTGGTGTATTGTCGGTGACAAGCAAAAAATGTGCATGTTAACTTCCGCCGTGCTTTGGTTGGGCATGCGCGCTCGTGCTACCAAGGGAAGCAAATGCATTAGCTCATGACCGATAACAACCACTCTGAAACATGAAAATATAGGGTCTAAGAGAATTCGTCAAGTATGGCAAGTCGTCATAGGGCATAGGGTGGTGACTTTGGCTTTTCAATGCTTTCTATCTCTACAGACCCAGCACACAGCGCCGGGGTCTTTTCGGCTACGCGTATACATGGGTTGCACTGACGTCACATTGCATTTTTTCGACCACCATGTAAGAGGAGAGGGAAGCTGCTTTTGTAAGAATTTTGAGTGACGGGTTAATCTTCTATAATCTTCTGGGAGGAGAATAGCGACGTCTGTGCAAATCCAAGAGGCACAAAAGAGGATCCTGATGAGAGGGAAGCTCCTTCTCCCCCTCTTCTCTGGTGGTCATCGGAGCACTCTTTGAATGACGTCACGTGCAAACCACGTATACCAATACCCTTCGTACAGAAGCATGGAAGCGCTACGCTGGGTTTTAGTTAGCTCCATTTTTTCTGAAATGCGGTCGTGCTATTTGAAGATCTGAACATTTCGCCCCTATATATATATATACGTATTCGAAGCCACTTCAAAGGAAAAGCCCCTTTGGAGTAGAGATAGTGAACAGAGAAGACGCCCCCAAAAACAAAACCTAACTCCTACGCTTCCTAGCATCCTGGTGTGGAGGTCTGCATATCACAGGGTGACCCGTTTTGTCATTGCGCAGTAAGTTCCGATCTAGCAAAGCTTCCAAAAAGGGTCTAATAACAACGGAACGTCGAAAGTAAAGATAACACCGAAAAGCCGACCCCAACCGCCCCATAAAACAAGCAAAAGGAGACCAAATTTGAAACTGCGACAAGTTCGATGCGACCACTTTTTAGGTTGAAACCATCCCCCCCCCCCCCCCCCCTTCCCCCTCTAAAAAAAAAGTCTCTGGCGAACTTTCCAAGAACGAGGAGGTCACTGCGACCACTTTCCCTACTACGGCTTCACCTAGAACGAGATGCCCTCTTTGACCAGTTCACCTATGAGCAGTTTCCCTATGACGGACTGCGACGAGTGGGCCTGTTCCCGGTTCAGACATCCGGTCCGATTTCAGTCGTTCGACCTAGAGCACCGTCCGGACGTAACGCTAGCCAAAGCGTTCACTTTTACAAGTGAAGACACAAGGGCCAATGTACGAGAAGCATGTGCGTTCGCACACAATTCAAGCATCCTCCTTTCTTCCAAGGTGTGCCCTAAATATTCGGATTACCTTTCCGCACCCCGGAGGACCCCAGAGAATCATTGACGGCACGCTGTTTGAAGCTATCAGCTTCCTGAGCATGCTTTTCTCCCCGAGCGTGCCATCCTGTCCTACGAAGGCCTCCAACTGGGAAGGCCGCATCAGCTCTGCCAGCGGTTTGAACTGAGCGCCAGGGTTGGTCCGAGCTGGCACAGGTGACACAGAAGAACTTTGATCCGCCTGATAGGGGGAAAAACAAATCAGCTGTTGCTCTTTTTTTTCGGATACGAAGGGAATTGGAATTTGGCGGCAAGATAGCTCATAGCGCTCGCATACACACTTGCTGGGATGCATTGCCGGGAATTTTGGAACCCTCCGTTTTCATTCTTTTAGGTCGGTTTAGAGTGAAGTTTGACATGGAAAGTTGCATGATTACTTGCGTGACGCAGGAACCCAAAAGAAACAACACGCTTAATTTTGGCCGAATCTCTGGATTTGGCTATCCAACTTTTCATCGAACTTCATATTCAAATTCAACCAAACTTTCAGCCCCGTAAGTGATGACGTCACAACACAACAACCAGTGCACTTTTGCGGTGCTCCTCATTTTGTTTCTTCGCAGAAAAACAACACGAATATTTTTTTTTTATCTGTGTTATACCAAATAGTACGTACCTTTATTAACATTGTAAAAGTAAGTGGTATTCGAGCCACTTTCGGCCGCCATGACAGGGAGCCGAGCACTTTCGGTTCGGGTTTTGTTTGCTCACCGCTATGGTTTCGTATGTTTTGCAATTAACTCGCTCTTTTGTTGTTTTTTTTTTTTTTTTTTGCGTCGACTGGCTTCTTGAAGTGCTGTAGTGCCTTGACTGGGAAACTTTGCTATGGCAGATCTCCACGAAATAGAAGGTGCAGGGAGACGCGGCCTTCGAGCGTGGACAGCTATCATTTCATCTGAACGGAACTCTGCTGGGTCTGCTATCGTTCCGTGGTTCCGTCGGGACGGAAATTTTAGCACAGTTTTTAATGCCACGAATTTGAAATAAAAACACCGTAACTGACCAATTATTTCATCTGCGAGACAGATAAATGTTCCAATCTCTCTACAAATTATTCGTGATATTTTTGCCGACTGGTTGCTGTCTGCTTCAATTTGCAACGGCACACTAGCGTCATTTGAACATCTAACATGCTCCGAACCTCCAAAAACAACCAAACCCCCCCCCCCCCCCCCCCCCAAACTCCTCCTTGTCCAAACGTAACGTTTCTCCAAACCGTTGCTAGGGTCGTTGTTATGGACAAATGGATGGGGGCTCGACGTGAAATTAAAATTTGTCCAACAAAAAAAAAAAAAAAAAAAAAAAAAAAAAAAAAGATTTAATATATATAACCGGTTTTGCCTTGCCAGCAGACGACACAATCGCTGTGCGGCTTCAGTGGTTCTTTCCGAGAGATTACGCGACTGCGTCATAAGTTGGCGACCAGCGACGAAACTTTTGTTTTCGGGGTCAACACTTTGTGGGATTTCGGAAGTGAGGGGTGTCCGTACAGCGGTACAGCTTTGATCGACGCTCGAGGTGCACGAGCGCGAACGCCTAACGAACACCTGCCCGTGGAGGCTTCCGCAATATTTGGAAAGGCTCGATGTTTTTTATCCAGATTTCGCTAGTTCGAGTCTTACTAAAAACAAAAGGATCAGCAGGATTTTTTCTATGTGGTTACAAGCAGGAACGAAACGCACACCCTTATTACAAGCCTGAAAAACGAAGTTTGCATGGAGTCTCGAACTTGCTCATTGCAATATTTAAATTGACTCCGTAAGTGATGACGTCACAACTTGGCGTCTGGGTCCAAACGAACCGTTGCTAGGAACGTTGCTATGGACTAATGCAGACATGGAAAAAAAAAAAAAAAAAGTTTTTTAACAGTTTGGTTGGGACACGCGTGTCAAGAAACAAATTGTACGCGAAAAAGAAATATTTATTTGAAATTCTGCGCACGAAGTCCGTGACGGCACGGATCATTCCGGAATGACCAGGAATGACCATCTCGGTCGTGAAGGCGATGTACAGGGTGTCACAAAAGAAAATTTACACGATCTTTTTTACCGCAAAAATAAACTAGGCATCGCCGAATGCTCATTCTCCGCCCAAAGGTAGCGCTAGAGGTCACAACCAGATGCCAAAGTTTCAGCCCGATCCGATAACTTAATCAAAAGTTATAAGTGATTTTCTGAAAATTTCAATGGGAAAATGGCGGCCGACGGAGTTTTCAAACACACGGGGCTCTATGGCACCAGAAACCGAAAACGGGCAAAAATGGGCCCCATTTTCCCATTGAAATTTTCAGAAAATCACTTATAACTTTTGATTAAGTTGACGGATCAGGCTGAAACTTTGGCATCTGGTTGTGACCTCTAGCTCTACCTTTGGGCGGAGAATGAGCATTCGGCGATGCCTAGTTTATTTTTGCAGTAAAAAAGACAGTGTAAATTTTCTTTTGTGACACCCTGAAAACCGGCTGTTGTAAAAGCTAGGAAACTTGGTCGAAGAAAAAAAGACAGAGTAAAAGAATGTCTCCAGCCGATCCACCTCTCCTCCACGCGCCCAAAATCCCGAGAAAACAAGTGGAAAGGAGGTGACTGCCGACACGCGTGTCCCAACCAATTTTTTTTTTTCATAGGTTTTTCAATCTATTTTTAGGGAAGAAGAAAAAAAAAAAAAGAAAAAGACGAGATTGGAGAAAAGACGAAGGACAACACAACACACAGAGATGTGTGTTCAGACGAACTTGCACTCGACATACCTTGTGGAAACGATGGACCCCCAGTCCCCCCACATAAACTCCAAATTTCAGCCGAAATTGGCTGTTTCGCTTTCTGAATTTGGCGCAGTTCGAAAAGAAAAACATCAAAAAGAGGGTCCTACGTTGCTTTGGTGTGTTCTAAACAGACGCCTGTTCTGCTGAAGGTCGCTCTTCGGTGTGGCAGTCCCCGGTGTGTGTGTGTGTGTGTAAGCGTTGTGAGATAGAGAGGGAGGGAGGGAGGGAGGGAGGGGGGGGGGGGGGGGGGGGGGGCACCTGGCGCGTTTGTCACTGGCTCGCAGTCCACGGAAGTTTCGGCAGCCAGAAGTCTCGATAAGTCTCTGACTGGTGTTTAGTGTCCTACGCTGCCTACGCTGCCCACACTATGGTGCCTCGAACGCGTCTCTGACTGGTGTGTTTACCGCGGCCAAAAAAGTGGTCCCTCGACTTCCGCCTGATGACGTCATATAAGTTATGCTGTCGCCGGTCGCGACCCTGGCGGCGTCCCAACCGTTGTGGTACACATAGCAGACGCTTGTTCTGCTGCAAGTCGCTCTCCACTGTGACAGTCCACGGAAGAGAAGCCGGAAGTTGGGACGCCTGGGACGCCGTGACGACAGCGACACTTGCGTTCGCTCGTGCTTTTCGCCAGCATATCTACGGCCGACCGCCATGATCGCGACAGGCAACAGCATGACACTACGGCTTTTGTGACGTCATTTGTTGCTACATTGGACCACTTTTGATGTGTGGTCGGACTAGGACTAGGGGTGTCGCGAACCGGCCGCGGTTCGAGTTCGACTTTTTCGAACTTTTAGTGAAAAGTTCGACGAACCTTGTATTGAGGTTCGACTCGTGTGCGCATGCGCGACAGGCTAGCGAGTTGGCTTCGGATTGGATTGTGATGGCTAAGAAATGAATTAAAGTGCAGCGCTGATTGGCTATTTCAGCCAATAAAGTACTAAAAATTAAGTTAACTTCTTCAGTGATTAGAATTAGTCTCTTTTAATTGCAGCTGTTCACAAAATTAAATAACCCTTTGCATAAAAAAAAAAAATTCTCCAAACTAGTCATGCTTGTATCAAGGTCTGGCCCCACTGTCCACAAAGTCGAACCGGTGGAATCTGGTGAAAAGTTCGAAAGTTCGTCGAACCGGTTCGACCCAGTCGAACCCCGTAAGTTCGACCAAAAAATCTGGTTTGACAAAAGTCGGGGACGTGATCCAGGCACCATACCCATACATCAAGTGGTTCCAAAGTGTCAACAAATGACGTCACAGAAGTCGGAGTGTTATGCTGTCGGATGTCGCGATCCTGCCGGTTAGTCCTAGAAATGCTGACAAAAAGCACGAGCAAATGCGAGTGTCGCTATCGCCGCGGAACTTGAAGCTTCCGTGCACTGTCATACGTTGGCAGTGGCATAGCCAGTGGGAGGGGGCTTCGGCCTGCCCCCAAAATCCATTCCACCATAAAGGTATTTTGAACCCCCCCCCTCCCCCCCTCCTCCTCCTCCTCTCCCCTTCCCTCCCTCCCTCCCTCCCGAAAACAATTCCTGGCGGCTACGCCACTACACCGAAGTACGTTACCTACCTGAACAGTCTCCGCGTGCAGGACCCTACGTAATAAGGTGTTTGAACACTTACCCTTATGCGAGCTCCATGCAATCCAAAGGAATTTTATAATGAAAAGCAACGAAAGTTGTCCAGATGGGATGGAAATAGTTCTATCCATTCAGAGGGCACAATGCATCCTGGTGTAACGATCAAACTGTTCTACTTGATCTTTCCCTGATTATCATAGTGCACTTATTCTACTTGTCACACACAAACCACTAGTCAATTTTTTGATACATGAACGGTAATTACTTGCTCTAGTTTGCATCCTTTCATAACAATTTTCAAAATACTGTTTTATTACACCAATGTAAACTTTTGACTTGAGATTCGGCACAAGCTGAGCATAGATCAAGCTATAAAAACGAAGTCTATGCTTTATTAAATGTCATTTCTTTTTAATAAGGAAAACTGTGTGAAATACTTCTTCCATCCTGCATAACAACATGCACTTGCCCAAGGTACACAAAGAAACACAAAACTCCAGCTTTAAACAGAATCGAGGCCCTCAAAGTTGCCGGTAGTTAACATAGGCAAGGAGTTGGGACGATACAGTGTTGTGATGATTTTGGCATAGGTTGTAGAGAACAAAATTTTGGAATCTGGACCTGTGCGTTATTGACCTGGAACAAAAGCAAAGGTAAAACACCATACAACAAAAATGACTAAGAGTTGAAGAGCATGTCGGTAACGATTCAATGTTGTAGGCAAGAACATAAAATGGACAAAAGGACAGACTGTCCTCCTTACACCTTCCCTATAACATTTTAAAATGACTGGTACGTACAATCGTGCCAGATACAAAAGGAAATGCAAGAATGCAGTTGCACACAACTAGAGGCACCATGGAGGTAGACTGCAGTAAAGTAATGGAACGGGACTGGGCCACTCGGCATGTGGCTCCTTGCGGCTTGCCTCCGACGATGCCCACAGCTTCGCACAAAGCTGCCTCCAGTGCCCCTTCACAACTAGCACGATTGTACAAATTACTCCAACAACTTATACTTACTATCAAAATGAAGTATTACGAACATACACACTGTTTTTGACTGCAAACAGTATGAAGGAGAAAGTAGACATACTGCTTAATTTGCACATACAGATTCACTTGTCTATGTCACTACTATTCGCAAGAAAAAAAGAAGTGTGAGGTTTTGCACTTTTTCTTTCCCTACCGACAGTTGCCAACATTGTCACAGCATTTGCGATCAATCTTGAGGCACGCAGTGTCGCACACTCTGCTATTACCCCGTGTACAAACTCACATCAATTGTAAAACACCCCAGACAAACCACTGAATCTGCTGGGCTGCTTTTGATTCCATGCACAAGGCAGTTTAAATGCCAAAATGACTACAAATGTATGCAGCTCATGTTCAGAAAAAAACAACTCAAATTCATCTTTTGTGTTCAGGTTTATCGCCAAGTAAAAACAGACAAGTGCGCAGAAGTTACACAACAAACACAATGCCTTTCTTTAGAATACAAAAGAAAAAAAGGAAAGATCCAACAGTTGAGCCTACTTGGGTACGGAACAACACTTGCTTTTTTTTGTAACTTTTCAACATTTTTTTTTGCATTTTCTGAAATTCCTCTGGATCTGTACAAATTATGGGATTAAATTAAAAAAAAAAAAAGCCAAGGAAAGAGAAATATGGGAGCAGGGTCAAAGAAAATCATAACCATCAAGCGCCACCCATGATCTCCTGCACACACACATTCACATGCGCGCAGTCTTGCTAATAAAAAAAAAAAAAAATACGGGAAGCTAGGAAAACACGGCACAACACACTCAGCAAGTCCAGGGACGGACAGCGATTTTGCCTCAGCCTGGTTGCACGCCATGGCCGACTGAGAGTCCCCAACGAACCAAGATGAAGCCGGCAACAACACACAGCACTGTCTACCTCCCGGAGTTTGTGCGCCGTTAATAAAAAAAGCAGAACAAAAAATGTTATTCACTTCGGGGCACTTTGTCACTGTTTGCATCGCGCTCAATCATAAATGCAATGATTGAGAATGAGGGTCACATTGCACACAGGAGAAAACCACAAAAAGAGGGGCAGGGGCTTGTCAAAATTCGGCCAAAAGAGCAGAACCCCAGATAAATGTTTTTCTTCATATCTGAGAAGTACAAAAACCATGGGTGACCAACTGCGGGGACAGGTTCCACTACAGAGCATGTAAATCAAACCCTGGGGGCGCGTCCCCCCCAGCTGTACTACAAAGGTGCCCCCAGATTCGCCAGTCACTCCCAAGAGGTCCTCCATGGGCTTCCCTTCTCCACTACATCTGCAAGCCACCATGATACTATTTACACTGTTGCACCAACACACCACTGGAGGGAGAGGAAGGAGCACTGTTGTGACAGGTGCAGCTAGACCGGCAGAAGCACTGCCCCCAGCCACGTGGCACTGGCACGTCTTTCCAGCAACCGTGTAGGCAGTTTAGCTGCTCATACCCGAGGTGCCCCGAGCAATCGGCCAGAGGAGCACAAAGGACCAAATCCTCGGGGTTTCGGTCTAGCCCAGGGCCTCCCGGAAAATCCAGTAGGCTCGTGTGAGCCGGCACGGCTCTTCAATGCCTAGAGTGTCACTTCTTCAAAGAATCAACGAGTCAAAAGTGCAGATCTATTGCCAGCTGTGTACTAAGTTGAGCAGGACAATTTTCTTTAATTTCAGACAAGCAGCAACACGTTAATCCCTACCGGGTATCACTACCGCTTCTATCGTGCGATGAAACTTCACAAATACCACTTCCAAACTGGCCGAGCTTCCAAAAGGATGACGATAATGAGCAGTACATCAATGTCAATAACAACTTCTGTAACACAGTGTTCTTGTGAAAAAAAAAAAACAACAAAAAAACATTATCCATCTACAAAGAGACTTTTTGCTCCGATCAGTCAGTGAAGATGCATAGGAAGTTTAAGGTTGCTAAATCTCCGAGATGGGAACACACTGTGTTACAGCAATCAGATGTATGTATATTGTATATTTTGGTCTAACAATGGAGCAATTTAAGAGTTGCATGCACATGGGCAGACGAAAGCGCAACTTTGCAGGACTCTGACAAGGGATCTGTTCCACTACTTTGGGCATAGAAGCACATGCGAACAGAAGCTGACACAAACAAAGTGTGACCCCAAGGAACCTGGTCCAGGTCGGTTGGCGATTTAATCCCGAATTGAGGCCATGACTAAAGCATTACCACCATTGTGCCGTTACATGTTGTAGATTAAAGCCCAGTAATATGGCACAATGCGCAAAGGGTACCATTCCAGATTAAAATGTGTGCCAGACTTTGAAGAACATAAAACGAGCAGTAACAGTTGCAAATGGAAGCCATCAGGTTCTTGAACCTGCACCAGCAACAGTACCGCAGACTTAGAGCCATTAAAAAAAAAAAAAAAAAAGCTGAAACCAAGAAGCTGGCAGCCACAAAGCAGCGCAGTTGGGACGTCTGCGAGCGTCCCGGTGTCTGGGAAGCCCTCCACCCCAGCCTGCCACTGGAGTCTAGCCAAGGTTCACAGAAAGTTCCTGCCCCTTCCTCTACCCTCCACCAGGCTGGCTGCACAACATTTTACTTCTAAGAGCAATGGCCACTGACAACTCTAACGCCTCAATAATTTAAAAAGAGCACTAAAATTGCAAACACACACAACCAGCACACCAGAGATGCCTACTTACAACAAAACAAACAAAAATAAAACCAAAGACAGGAAATTGGTTTGCCCCCTTGACCCCCACACTTGGTGGTGCCCATCCCCTGATGCCACTCAAAAGATGCTCCCAAGAAAAAAGGGAAGTGCTTTAAAATGCCTCTCAAAACAATTTACCAGCAAAAACAAAAACAAAAAAAAAAGCCTGAAGCAAGACAAGTTTATACACTGTTTGCCGGCCATGTTTCAAGAAGCCAACACACTGCTGGATAAGCGTTCCGGCCGCGGAATTTGCCCACATGGCAGACGCTTGTGACAGGAATTTTGCAACAGTTGCCCCGCACAGTTTCAGTCCTCGAGCTATGCTGCCAGCTTCCCCGCAAGGCCTGGCACCTCACCACGGGGAAGTCCCACAAGCACGCCTCGTCAAAGACTCGGCCAGTGATGGGGCGGCCACCAGGTAAACGCAGGCAGTGATAAACTGTCTCTCCCAAAAAGAGAGAGCAAACGTAAAACAAACCAAAGTGCACTCCTGGCTGCCAGTCCTGGCATACTCTGGTAGCAGACAGAAAAGGGGAAAGTCAGAAGAGGAAAGGAGCAGTAACATGTGACTGTGTTGCCATGGCAGTGCACACACAGGGGGCCCCCTGGCCAACGAGGGGCAGTGGAGAAGGGGGCAGCAGCAATGTCCGAGTTTAAGGGCAAAAGCTCACGAGGGGCCAAACCAAACAGAAGGCTGCACCACAGCTGCTCAACACTCGCTCGCTCAGTCACTCAGTCACACACACACAGACACGCAACACAGGAAAATGGGCTCGGGTGGGGGGCCATCTGGATGAGCAGAGAAACAGAGACTAGAGGGAAAGGTCCGAGGGAAAGAAGGCAAAAATAACAGGGAGAGAAGAAAAGGGGAGCAAGTGCACATCACAAGAGCTCGTACTGGCGGAGGTGCATCCTCTGGATGATGTCTCGGCAGTCGTTGAATACGCGGCGGATGTTCTCCGTGTCCACGGCACAGGTGAAGTGTGGGTAGCAGTAGTGCTTGCCATCGCCACTGGCTGTGCTGATGCGCTGCACACAGACCCGTCCACAGCTAAGCTCCTTCAAACACCTTCGTGCCAGCCACACAAGGACACAAGGGCACACTCAGAGTTAGCGAGACATCTTCCAACATTTCGGCCACTCAAGAGCCTTAGCAGAGAGCTGTACATTGAAGACATTGAGATTGGAGACCTAAAAGGCTCATTGTCGCCAAAGAATTAAAAGGCTATGCGAGTCATGCAATTGTTTAGCCATGCAACTTCATTATTTCCACGATGGAAGTTTGAACATATGCCATGGAAAACCATTCCTAGACAACAGCAGGAAGGGTGCCTGCAGGACTGTTTTATTTTGTTAAATTAAGATAATTAAATTAATAAAATATATTAAGAGATATCAAGAGACAGCATTGAGAAACTCACTAACCAGGAATTCGTCTCGGATGAAGTACTTTGCTCGAATGACTTCGGGATCTTCTCCTGTCTCTATGACGGCTGCAAAGAAAGGTTGACAGGTAAGAGACCCAAACAAGCAGGCTTTTGTATCATTAAAGCGCATGCACGCATGCATGCATGCATGCATGCATGCATGCACGCACACACGCACGCACGCCCACACGTGCACGCATACACACACACAGACAGACAGACAGACAGACTGGAATACAAAAGTAAGCGTACAACACGTTTCACAGATAAATTTTGTCAAATGCAAAGAACACTGCAAGTTGTGATGAATAAAGCTTTGAAGCTGCAGAGAAGTCTGATCTGAAGCTTAATGCCATATTGGACCTAATGCTGCGACTGAAAAGAAACGAGGACTCAACCCTTCAACTGGGGAGCGCATCTTTAGAAGCATTGCTATTTTGACATTGAAATGGAGACCTCGTCCAAGGGCCCTAATCTGGATACTTGGTGGAAAAGTCGGCGAGAAATTCGGCGGCTCTGATTGGCCGGCGCCAAGGTCAAGTGTTGCGTTGGCCAATCGCGGCCGCCAAATTTCTCGCAGTCATTTTCGCCAAGCGTCCAGCTTTGGGCCCCAAGGCGCACTACAGTTTCTTCTGATGCAGAGTGTGTGTTATAAGCACAGTAATGATACAGGTGCCACAACCTATCAAAAGCAATGGCAAACATATTTAGTTTAATTTGTATTCACTAGGTGGCAACAGAATTTAAAAGGACACTGAGAGGGTATTTATGCTCGTCAAGGTTTTTAGTTGTACATGACATTTGAGAGCCCAACTACCCAGAACAGAATTTTGCGGCTCGAAATTCAGTTTCTTTCCGCCCGAAAACCGCCGATCAAGAATTGGCCGGTTTGAGTCGCGCTCCCTTTTCTCTGTGGTCACGGGCAGTTTTTTTAAGGTTCAGACACAACCAACAAGTTTAATCAAAGTCGAGGGTCATTGAAGGCATACACTCAATATTAAAAATAGAAAAAGTTAGAAACCCAGTTCTTGTGGCTTCTAAAGAGCAGCAAATATGTTGATTTAAAAAAAAAAGTTGCGCAGAGAACAGGAAGCATTCTATGTGTTCACTGCATAATTCTCAACATGGCGTCGAATTGCGTATCGTGGGCTGGATGGAGATGGCGGTGGACTACGGGCGTGGGACCTCTACTTCAGAACGGTCGTTTGCAGTACTGGCAAATCAGTCTTCCTTCGAAAGAGAAATTTTGGACCAATCAAAACAATTAGGATTCGTTCCGTACGACACGTCAAACCACCAAGCCAATTTGCACGAAGGCGTCGCCGAGTTGTCGTCTGTTTTTGTGGCTGAAGACATCGCTTGTCTTGCGAACACGAATCGGTAAAAGCTTGAAAAACGCACAAACGTTAAGCACGAAGTGCGTACTTCGGATTGAATATGCATGCGTATAATTTCTTTACTAGGTGATAATGAGGCCCATGCGTGGTGCTGCCCGACTTTGAGCCTGAGGCGTGCCTTTGTGGCAGAAAAATTGGCAGCAAACATTCAGATTTACAGTTGACCGGCTGCATTACAATCAACGAGGAGTTCTCCCTCGTCTGCCTGAACATTACAATGTTAAATCTATTATACTTCGAGCTCCACGATAGGAAGCTGCCTATACCAGGACATCCACAAGTCGATGTTGTTAGGAAGTGGATATTCTGCCGGCAGCTGGCACAACCCGGAAAAAAAATTGCCGGCAGTTGTCCCCTATTGGCGGCGTGCGCAAACTGCGGGGGGCGCTTCTCTAGCTATCACCATCATCATTTGTGACGTCACAGGTAGGACAGACTGGGACAGAATGCGCAGATCTTGGCTCCCTCGGCTCGTCAGCTCGTTTCATGCACTGTTTCATAACGCGCGGCAAAGCCTGTTTCACACGTTGTGTTTATTGTTGTGAAGTGATATTTGTAGGACAATTTAACAAAGCCTGAAAACGTGGCACGCGTGGTCGTGCTGACAAACACTTTTGGTGCTGAGGTGTCAAAGCGCTCGGATAGTGGTGTGCCTGTGTGCTGTTCTCTATCCCCGTAAAAAAAAAAAAGCTGGATAATGAATAAAACATACAGCGCAAACAGATGGGACAGAAGAGAGAAGACACACAGTCGCTGAAAATAGGGTAATGAAAATAGAATATCCAGCGCTTTATTCCACTACACCATCTACCGTGGCAAATAGGAAAGCGAAATCCTAGAACCTCTCGCGTATGTAGTAAATATTTCAGTGAAATCGAGTCCATGTATTCTGTTGGTTCCAAAGCGTTCTGTGAGTGCTGGTCTCTTATTAGTTCCAAGTTGACTCCTTTTGGAATTTTGTAAAGCAGTAAACAAGCATTTCCTGAAGACAACTGGCAAGAAGAAGCGGTGGCTGGCTTTAGGAGTCGTTTCAACTAAATCCCTGCTTATCTACCTGGTTGACACGAAACGTGCAAGGCCCCCTCGTGACCGAAGTCTTAAATCTAGTAAGCCGGTGACACTTCAGCGTCCCGAAAAATGAGGAATACACCTGCTATGTATTACTACCGTTGACTATGTGGTGAGTGATAGCGAAGCACCGTCACTTGATGGCAGTGAAGGCACAGGAAATACGGAGGGTGTGGCAACATAGGGCATGTCAATATTCAGTATGTTGCGGCACAAAATAGCCGAATCGCAAGAATTCGCTTCATAACCTACCATAAGAAAATTAACAGCTTGGAACATGATATCTTAGACGGTGTAAATAAACTGAGAGTTAAAAAAATAACCTTCTACCAAAGAAGTTAAGAGTCCTATCATACTCACACCTTCTTTTGTATTTAAAACATCAGAAAAAATATTTTCAACAATTTATCTGGAAATATCGTAGTTATCTGTATTTAACTCTTATCAAGCACTAAATTTTAATCACATCTCTTTATCTCCGCCTTTTTAGGCTCTGTGTCCTCTTAAAGCTTTGGCTTCTTCACAATTTATCTTTCAACACTAACTTCTTAAAGCCATTTCAAAAAGCAAATCGTAAAAATACTACAAAAGAAATCGGGGAAAAAAAAAAAAAAACAGAAAGTACAGTAAATCTTTTAGGAGTGAAAGATTGCAGATATAATCGAAGCAACTTTTCCGACGAGAATATAAAATTCCTGCAGGTATGCAAAGGTGGTTTCTTTCTCAAAACACCCCTCACATTTACGATCAATACTCCGTTGTTAATTGCTATAAAGAAAATGTACAGGGAATTTCACCGACGACTGAAAATAATTTATTAAAAAAGGACACTTAAAATTAAGAAATGATTCCTTTAGGATAACATTGCTGAGCATGGCAGATGTCAGGGTACGAACGAAAAGTGACAATTAACGACTTAATCCAATACAGCCAAATCTAGTACACCTTACATTTAGCATTCAGAGAAAAGTGGCATGCACAAAACCATGCATTTTCCTAAATTTAGCAGAACTGCCCCTGGGAGACACAAATGTGACAGAATAACAAGAAGAGTTTCGCAAGATCATGATTTTGCAGAATCCCGGGCAACACGGGTGCCTTGCTTTATTTAATTTACTGGACCAGCGGCTATGAGCATGAGCAAACAGCTTTCTAAGAGAGCCCCACTGCGCACAAGCGGAGGGAGTACATGGCTTTGCGCTCAACAAATGCTCCAGTTAGTGAGGGTACTATATTGATTATATTAAACTACAGGAAATTTGGAGTGATTCGCTTTGGCCTTTGAACAATTGACTGCTGTCTATGTCAAGAGCTAGAGAGGTCACAGTGACGCAGTGCAAAAGAGACGCATGCGTTGACACGCTTGTGGAGCTGACAAAATCAACCACTGCTATCAGGAAGAACTCTGGAAATTACAAAATACGGAGAGCATTTTTGACCGGAAAAATAGGGAGTGCACTCAAAAGGCTGATTCACAACCAAAAAGAAGAACCACTTTCCTCCTTTCTGCCAAGAAATGATGACCTTACACCACAAAAGCTTAATGAAGAGAGACTCACAAGCAAATTGTACCATTTAAATCAGTACAATTATTTAGTAATCAAGCCCCAGCCAATAGATTTTGTCACAACATGAGTGAAAGTGGAATAAAAAATACCGGCAGGGAGCCAGCTCCCTATTCCTTTTAAAAAATGAAGAGAATAGCCTGCATATCAAGACGACTGGAGCTTTGAAACCTGCCCGTCCTCTTTACACTTGCGACATAATTAACTCTTTGATGATCGTTGCCACATTGTATGGCGGTGATTATGCATTTGAGAGTGCCTGCCTAAACGCGAACCCTCGTGCACTGCGGAAGGTGTTTCTGTTTGTTGTGACTTTGGCAAACTATAATAACAATATAATAGTAATACTTTAGTTTCCGGTAGTGTTCAAAAACAGCCATAAAGGCCATCTTATTGGTACACTATGAACAAAAATGAGCTTCACATAAATAAACACAGCCAAATGAACGAACAAGATACAGAAACATCAGAGGTCTGTACAGTAGTATTTACTATGATAAACGTGAAACAAAGTCCTACACTAAAAACAAACAAAATATATAGTATATAAAAGACCAGTCTTTTCAGCATTGATAAAAACTGTGTGCATTTATGTCCAGATCAGCATCATTAAGTTCATTATAGAAGTGCGTAAATCTAGATATGGGTGAAACATGATATGGGGCATTCGGATAAAATGGTAAGATCACTACTACTTCGCACTGGTATGTGAAAGTTCACAGATGACAAAAGTGATATGCTATCAATCTGACCAGAAATTATGTAAAAAGATCACATCACGAATGGTACGTCGTTTAGATAGCTCTGCTAAGCCAAAATTGTTTAGAAGCGATTCATACTTAACAAAGACAATAAACGTATCTATCATAACTGTTTGCACCCAGCGCTTCTGAACTCACTCAATTTCGTTGCTCTGATTAGAAGACAAACAGTTCCATGCTACAGAGCTGAATTAAAGTTTTGAGAGAACCAAGGAACAAAATAAATAGATCAAACATGTAAAGCTCAAAAATTTGTGCGTCATTCATGGAATCAG